TATCAAGATATTCACAGAATGGATTAAAACAAGACATATTTTGAAAACTATGCAGTTGAAAAATGAATGTATTTTAACGTCTTCAAATATTAGACGGTTGCATATTGTTTGATGATATTGGAATATTCACGCTCTTGCACATCTTTCCAGATCTGCAGTACACATTGGTTACTCGACAAAGCATTTTCTCCATGCCATTCATAACTAATATAGACTGCATCTGTAATGTAAATTTTGTTTAAGTGGAAAAATTCAGCTTCAATTTAACATACATAATTATTTTTTTTCAATATATAAGCATTGTGAATCTAAGATTAAACTTTGCTGTTTCTTAAATAATCCTGTTTTTATTTCTTTTGTTCAGTTTCACTATGAGATTCCAAAGAATATCAGTACTGATATTACACTCAATATCAGACTGCAAAATGTTAATTCCTCTAACAAAGATTTACTATAGTTAACTATAGTTTAGTATGGTTAACTTCAGTAAAAACTTTGATACTTTGATTTACTTAACACTTTACTCTGAAACTTTTTTTTAGATTTCAAAGCTTAAAATCTCTTAAATTCGGTAACAGTAATGTAATATTTGGAGAAAAAATATGTGAATATACAAATAATTGTTCCATTTAATATAAAAAAAAAATGTGCATGTATGAATTGAAGAGCAAAAAATATGGCAATCTAAAATCCATAGTAAAAATACATGTTTTAATATAGTAATAAAAAAATTTGAAACTTTAGTAAAGTATAGTAAACTATGGTAAAATATAGTTAACTATAGTAATTTTTATTAGGGAAGATAGAAAAAACACTTCAAAGCAATGCTCTCTCTCTCTCTCTCTCTCTCTCTCTCTCTCCTGTATAGCAGAAAATAGCAAAACCAGACAGTAAAAGCTGATTTCATGTGCTTTTTACAGGTCAAGTGTCTTGTGGTGATTTATAGTCTAAGAAAGTAAGTCCTTGATTGTTTCTCAAAACCACAACGGAATAGAGAATTGCACAAAAAGGAAGCTGACAGTCACTTTTTAGATAACATATGGTCAAAAACATCCGACACACCAAGGCAAGAACACATGGACTGACTCTTTTCTAACCAGAGACGCCCACGTAGGGCAGCTCAAAAATAATAGACAAAACAAAATATAACTTTAAAAAATGTAAACATGATTCGTTTTATGAATGGTAAAGACAAGGAGGACGTTATAATTAAGGTGCCCATTATTCAACAAAGTCATGTAGTGTCTGATAGAGTCATTTTGGAGAAATATTAAAAAAAGAAAAGAAAAAAAAGCCAGGAATTCACATCAATGCAGGTTTACTCAGTGTCAGCGAAACTATTACTATCATTTTTATATGCATATTTTAAATGATTTAGAAATAAAACATATTTTTTTTCTAATGTGTCGAGAAATTCTATGCACCATTTTTCTACTTGATAAGGAAGGTTCAACACATAATTACATTGGTGTTACAAGAATATTAACAATCTCGTTTAAATTCAATATTTTTTTCAATTTCTATGATAGCTAAAATGAGTTTGTACGCAAATATAAATCTTTCAATTATAATCATTTTAGGCGATTATTTTCATCCTGAATTGTCTACTTATTTCTCCCATTATCCGGTCATTACAACGGGTTGTTACCAAGACGACAAGGGGATCTTTTCCTTTGTGGCGCCTGATTCCACTTTAATGTTTTAGGGGACTTTGTTTGGTCTTCTCTCGATTTGTATTGTTTAATTGGACTTTTGAGTACGGTAATGCTGGTCATTTTCACACTTGATCTCAAAGTATATCTAAAAGTAATGTCACAACTGCTATAAAAACTTTAATAATCGAAAGTATTCAATAAAAAATTTTGTTCTACATTCGAATATTAGTTCATATATAAATCTATGCTAAAAAAAGCCTAACATTTCTAATGTTTTACTGAGCTGCCATAAAAAAATCGATGTTTGACCACAGAGTGAGATATTGGACCTGTGGATGAGATATTGGACGTCACACTGTGGGTTGGATTAGCTGCATGTAATTCTTATTTGCATTCGTTGGTATGGAAGCCAGCAAAAGATACATATATAACAAAAAAATCATAAAATAAATAAAGGTATAGCAAAACATTTATTGATTGGGTTTTCGGGCAAAATGCGTTTTATCGACCCTCAAGCATGTTGCCCTTGAACCCAGTCAATAAATATATAATACAGTAATAGCTATGAACCCAGTCAATAAATATATAATATAGTAATAGCTATCTTTTATCTACTTTTGCCCTAACGTTTCATTCAGATATAAAAAATACTTTATAAAATATGAAAATAAACTCAACGTTGGGTCTCGCCTATCGCTGCACGGCAAAAGTGTACCGACGTCGTTATGACGTTACTCTTCGACATTCATTTTGCTCATACATAAGATTAACAACATTTTGATTATTTTAAAATTACAATTCCAAACAAGAAGATTTATAGCAAAGTGGCAGGAAAGAGAATTAAAAAGAAGCACTTGAGAGTTTAAAATATATGCGGGTGAACTGAAGATGAGTGCCAAAAAAAAAAGCGTCTTAATGACATTGATAACATTCTTGCCGTGCAGCAGTGGGCAAAACCTAGCGTTGTGTTTTTTTAATATTCTTAAAAAGTATTTTATATAATGGTATGAAATTTTAAGGCAACAATCGAAAATAGATAGGCATATCAGTATGTTAAATTTTGTTAATAACATTGGATTTGGCTTATTAAAGCTTTTATAGCCTTTGTGACATTACATTAGGTTCAACCCTCGTAACTGGATGTCCTTTTGTCAAAAATTAGCATTTTCCTGTGCTAAAAACAGATTGTCTTGAATGATATCCTCTTGCCTTCCAAGCCGTCACGGTAGCTCAGTCGGTAGAGCGATCGCTCCGTGATTGGGAGGTCGTGTGTTCGAATCATGGCTGCGATTGCCCTAGGTCGATAAAAAATAGGTAGCAACTGTTCCTTCGCCAAGCGCTCGGAACTTTGAAGTGACACTTGCCGGTCCTTCGGATGAGACCTTAAAAACCGAGGCCCCGTGTCACGGTAGACGTTGGCACGATAAATAATCCTCACTTCTTAATTCCTGAGAGCCGAGTAAAGGTCTAAATTTGAAGCCCTTGATTCGATACGCAAGAGTATGCTCTACGTATATACAATTTCTAAAACGATGTAAAATATTGACAAAGAAGTTGATGAAACGAGAATATCAGCAGTCTCGTTTAAAGTCATCATTTCGTAAGTTCTATGGTCGATACAATGACCTTGTCAGCAAATACAATTTATCATTGAGTCAAATGCTGACTGACGTTTTCCATACTAATTCTTTGCCTTCATTTACACACTGAATTGTCGACGGATTTTTCCGTTATTTCCCGATCATGACAAGGAGTACACGGCGGGTGTGACCGGTCGGCAGGGGATGCTCACTCCTCCATGGCATCTGATCCATGTTTGCTCTGCTCCCGATTTGTATTGTTTTAATGGACTTCCCAGCTTGATTACTGCTCGTCATCTCCATATTTCACATCTATGTATAGCTTTTGATATGTATTGAAAAAAATCCACTTTAAACTTTTTATTGTAAAAACAGGACTTTGTAGCGTATGTACACTTAACATTTTAAGAATGAAGATAAGAAATAACATATTTTGTTATTATTTTACTACAAGATAAATAACAGAAGTCGGTATACATTCAATTAAGTTGATGATACATCGCGTATTAGGTATCTGTAATCTAATAACATAATATAGAAGAGTGCATTTCGCTTTACAATATAGACAGAACAAAATGTATCGCATTACCAAGGAACCAGAAATATCAAAATCCAATATTCTCTTTATAGATGAAGCCTGGTGTTTTACTTCTGTTTTAAGTAATAATTAACATGTAAGCCTTAGAGGCTTATGCAACTTATTATCACTTTAGTTATGTAGGTTATTTAGGAAAAAGCAATTGTCACAGTTAAATTTTGACACAATTGTGACCTGCTTTATAAGCTGTTGTTTTCATTTCAACAGCTTCTGCTCATAACAATGTTCTTCCGTGGGTTTTTAAGGGACCGAACACTAGAAAATACACATAGCTCGATGCAAAGAGAAGTCATTCGTTTTCTGGTCAAGTTGACAGTATTAGTGAAAATTATTGAGAAGATTGGATAATAACCTTTGACGCTATAACATTTTTCCGAGAAAAAAAAACGATTTTTTGTTTCTGGTGGCTATATATAAAGGGCTCTATTCTGTTTCTACAGTGAGGAAATTTCATAAACAATCTGTTACATTAAGAAAGGATATCGGATACGAAATGCTTATTATGCTACAAATCGTTTTAGCAATTTTACCTGCAATCTAAGTACAGACATTCGCTCTGACGTTCCTTCCAGCGATTTGCTGTTGGTTACAGTATTGTTCTGTCTCCTGAGGAAAACTAAATTTTGTTACTTTAGTTCTCTATTTACGTCCTAGGCTCAAATTACCATCGGCAATTTGTTACCAACAAGCAAAAAAAGTACACATTAAGAGAATCGTGTAATATCTGATATATCAGCGTATTTATATGTGATCAAGCGAAAAGCGTTGGTGGGGTATCATATTAAAGAGATTCTGCCTAGTAAAGAATTGAAAGGGATTTACGTGTTGTCTTGTTTTGGTGCATTTAAATCTAACTGTTTCTTCTGAGTTGACACCGGTTTAAAAGATGATGTTAGACCCTTGACCTTATTTCCTGTTTTTGACTTCAGTATATAAAAGTGTTTTGCAACGTAAAATCCAGAGAGTGCACGAAGCACGCATTGATTGAGTACTTCCGAGAAAATAAGATAAAACTTGTACATTGTGGATGTTTTACAGTGATATTGTTAAGTTACCAGGAAGACGGGGACGCTGTTATTCATTGGTTCAGCTTGTGACGGTTCAATATCAATAGGCAGACCAGTGACTTTTGCTTGAAGAATGTGACATGAATTTTGTGCTCTGATTTTACAAACACAGAAAATGCTGCCGTTATCGGTTTGTCTTCATAGTGAAGGAGTATACAATATCGTCACTGCTCTTTTTTGCTACCGAATTTTGGTACCCCACTTTAGTAACGATTCCAAAATTTCCTGGGAAGCTGACTTTCAAAACGGGAATTATAGATTTATATCAACTTCCGAAAATGACGCCTTTTCTCAAGGATACTCTTTCGTTCCCGATATAAACAACGAGACGAACTCTGAAATAGCGTGCATCGGTTTGACCAAAGCCGATTGCCAACGTTGGATTTCCTGTTCAAGGACGGCAAGGAATTGCTGTGAGAGACACAAGGCCACCAATGCGTCGAGGTTTACTTTAGAATCACACTGTGAAGCGACATGGGATGGAGTATCCTGCTTTGATTCTACACTTAATGGAACAGTTGTAGACACGGAATGTCCCTCATTTTACATCCCTACTGAAGGATCAGGTATGATAATCACAATAAAAACATTAATGACCCAGAAAGGCTTAAGCCAAAAAGAATGAGAAAAATATCGAGATGTTTTATTTTATATTTAAAGATAACGTCTAGTAATCTGAAGTTCATGTGATAAATAATACATTAAATGAAAACCTTCAGTTATAAAGAATTTGCCTTGTTCATATCTTTTTTACTATGTCTACCTGCTGTACTAATGTCATATTATTCTGAACTAGGTGTGTTTGTTTATAATTAATTAACTACGCATTCTGCAAATTTGTTTTTATTTTTAATAACAATCCCAAGTTAAATTCAATAAGGAAATATCACGTAAAGGAATAACAACGGAAGTGATTTTTTTTTCATCAAGGAAGATATTAACAGATTGTAAAATGATGAAAAGATGAATAAGAATACTAAGAGTGTATGTGGGGAAAACGGAGAGAAAAATCGTGTTAAATGAAGAAACAGAGTAAAATGAATCAAATTTGTAAACTTCTTATCGTAATGAAGCATTAGAAATATGAATATGGAGCGTACATAAATACGAGGATTGCAAATCTTGTTTTTCCCGATCATGACAAGGAGCAAACGACGGGTGTGACCGGTCGGCAGGGGATGCTCACTCCTCCACGACACCCGATCCCACCTCTGACGTTTTGGAGGTCCGTGTTTGCTCTGCTCCCGATTTTTGTCGTTTTAATGGACTTTGAGTTTGAATACTGTTCGTTATCTCCATTTTTCATTGTACCAAAAATGAACAGTTGCGGATTATCTAATTGGCTTATTATAATATACGTGTCTGTGTGAATGCTTCACATTATTATTTACAGTTACATACGATTGTAGTTATTCACAAGTTTCAATTTACAGCTTTCTACAATTCCTATCAATTTCTATATCTTTCTTTACATATCTAAACTCACAAAATGTAGAAATAGAATAGTTATACCAAGGCCATAACATTTATAATGTAGTACATGTACATACCTTTCATCTATTATTAGTTTAATGAAATTTTATTCGAAACCTGCTTTTGCACACGATTTTTTTTCTCTTGTATCGTTTCTAATGACTCAACTGTGTGTCATACATGACATTGGACAGAAACGACGGAAACAAAATGCAGATACATAAAGGGGGTGTTCTTTATTAATCAATGATCATTTCGTTTTACCGACAATATTTTGTTTAAGGTTTTTTTTCCCGATCATCACAAGGAGCACACGGCGGGTGTGTCCGGTCAACAGGGAATGTTTACTCCTCCATGACACCTAATTCCACCTCCAATGTGTTAAGTCCGTGTTTGCTCTGCTCCCGATTTGTGTTGTTTCAATGGACGTTTAAGCTTCATCTTTGCTCGTTATCTTCATATTTCAAAATAACTCACTGTATATCAGATATCAAGTGCAGAGTTCAAAAATAATATTATAAAATATGCAGCTGTACATGTTTACAAATAAGACTCAGAATCTTTATCTTTTTTGTCTTATCTTATCATTCATTAATTTAAATCCCCATGGTGCATTGTTCAGAATTTAGCTATACCAGTCTTGCAAAATCCCAATACATCTAAGAGAAAAACCTATAGACAGACTTTAATTTCTACAGACCCTTTAAAATCTCCCTGAAAATTGTTCTCGGTAAGCTTGTTGTACTAGATAACCGGGAAGGCAAGCTTTTTCGAAATGCTTGGAAAATCCAACCTCCCGAGTGATACGTGTTGGCAATATACGAGGGACAAATGTTCTGAGAATGGTTTGATAAAATATTTACAGTCTAAAGGCAGTTAATAAGTTTGATATCATTGAAAAAAAGCAGGAAAATTTACACTTATTTCTACGTCAATGTGATTTACATTACGTTATAACTCCGGACATTACGCAAGAATCCTGTGTATTAAGCATACTGACCAAAAAATGACATAACAAGAGACACAATTTCACTGAAGTAAATTTTAAAGTAATGTTAATTACTTCGAGGCACGCTAACGGACCAAATGGCCAGTTAGGAGAATGCTTACATAGATTACAGGGACCCTTTTTACATAACTTACGACTTAGTCTAAAAACTTTAGTCGATTGTAAAATCTTACAAAATTTATGTTTCTCTTAAAAATTGTTTGTATAAAAATGTTTTTCTACATTCTTTTCAAAAAGAATAAAACCATTTTCAAAGTAATACAAAAAGGAAACTTATTTGCATAAAAACATTTTGATCTTAGTCGTCAGTTCTTTTGTAAAACGGCTATCATATGGAATTAAACTCAGGAGCTCTTATATATTTGAGGTGGGTTTAGAGTACGTCAAACCTAGCAAGAGTATCTATGAAATCTCGCGCTACATGTTGGTTAAAAAAGACATTGTTGTGAGGAATTACGAAGTTAACAATAACAGAAGAATAGTGGACGAGGTTGCAGAGTTTGCTGGCATTAATTCTTAGGGTGTTTTAATCAATTTGCAGGAACAATTGAAGCTCAGAGGATGTTGATCTAGGGGTGTCCTGTATTTTCTTGTAAAACCCAAAATGTAGTTGTAACCCCAATATGTTCGTAAATTTTAACTCATGAAAAATGAGTCATCGTATATGGCAAAGACACTGAGATTTCTTTCTTTATTTCTTTTTTTTTTTCTTGATCGGATGTAAAAAGCAATAATAAGTTTTGGATCGTCAACGTTGAAATAATAATATGGAAAAAAAAATACACACAGAAACAAGTCTGGAGGATTACCTTTGAACGATTTATTCATAAACGGTAAGAGTCCTAGTATGTGAGATATATTTGTGGAAAACTGCATTGCTTAACTTCAGTTTTATAAAGAATATGTTTTGTTTAATACAGTGTTGTGTTGTATAATAGGCTGATAAATAATAAATAAATCGTTTATAAATGTCTATGATAACGCAATCGGTCATAAACCATGCTTATAAAACAATTATAAAATGAAATGTGGAATTGCTGATTTACATTTTTACAGCGTTACATCAGCTCCATGCAAATTTTATTTGATTTTTTTTTTTTTACAAAGAAGCCGTTGCCTTATTTTGCATTTCTTATGTGGACAAAAAACGGCGAGTTTCAAGGAAAATAAACATCACCGCTCTTAATCTTGCTCTTGGGGACTTTTTTATAAAAAAAAAATTACAATATTCAAATATGAACGTGGTTTTCCCCAAATACTTTGAAAAATAAAAAAACTTTTTCAAGTTGCAAAAATTCAATCAGTAGATGGTTCGTAGGTATGCTTAAGTTTATAGATTAAAAAATATACATTACATATTATATCTCGTTGTCTTAACATAAATAAACTTGATAACTTTTTGTTCGATCCACACGACAAAAAATACGTTTATCATGATTTAATTCTAGATGTAATACAATAACTTTAAAAAAAAAAGTGTCCGTAGGATGTATTATATAAATTTACACATTTTTATAATGAAATTAAAAGAAAAATGTTGTTGATGTTTTCATATGCAATTTAATTTCAGTGACAGCCTCGAAAACCTGTTTATCCAGCGGTAAATGGCACACACCAGAGGCGGGACTTTTTGTTGATGGGATAATACATACTTACTTTGTCTGTAAGCAGCGGGGAACAAGGGAGGTGTGATATTATTATTATTATTTCATGATGCTTGTGTGGCGACTGACACAATCAAAAAATCGTAACTTGAAATTATCACAACATAACGTTTAAAGTTTATATATGTTCATGTGTGGTGATATTGCTTGTGGGAACTTTCAAATATTAGAATAGCGAAAATTTGATACACATTTATAAAGAGAAAAATTTTAAAAGAGATTTCAAAATGCGTTAAAACTTTAATATTATAGAAATATAGTATTTAATTTAGGGGTCCAAAATTCCAATGCAATTTTGACTTAATTTAAAAAAAAAAAAAAAAAACTGTTCGTGCTTCCTTTCGCTAAAATGAAGATATGCTGGTCACTTGTGACAAGTTTAATTCATGAGAAACACATGCTTCGGTTACAGAAATTAATCTATTCCAGGTTTAATCTATCACACACATCATTTGCTCTTATTTCGTTGTGTTACAGATTGTTGGAGCAGAATTAATTGAGACTCAACGATTGGTAACTCTGATAACAAATTCCATCAGCCTACCTGTTCTCGTACTATCCCTGGTTGTCCTGGCCTGCTTTAAGTAAGAGAAGTACCGATAATGAAATATATTGAGATAACGAACAATATTCAAGCTCAAACGTCCATTAAACAATACAAATTTTGGAGCAGAGCAAATACGGACCTCTAAAACATAAGAGGTGGGATCAGGTGCTATGGAGGAGTGAGCATCCCCTGTATTTGCAGACAATGTCATTGTATCGACCATGGAACTTATGAAATGACGACTTTAAACGAGACTGTTGATATTGACAGTATTTCATAGAGACAACATACATGCAATAAATGCACGAATTTTCATTTCCACCTACATATGCAGTTTATGTGTCCCAGTTGATTCGATGTGCACGACCATGTTCTACTGATTATCGATTTCTAAAACGAGGCAAGCTGTTAATAAACAAGGATATCAACAGTCATGTTAAAAATCAAAATTTCGCTAATTTTGTGATCAATGCAATGATATTGTCAGCAAATTGAATCTTTTTTTAAGTCGAATGTTTACTGATGTTTTTAATACAAATTGTTAGGCTATTGTATTTCCACACAATGAGTGTTTACCGATTTTTCCGTTTATCCGATCATGCAGTGAGGCATACAGCGGATGATCCATCGACAAGGAAAGCGATCCCAACTCTGATGGTTTATTCGATCGTCCGTGTTTTCTCTGCTTATATTATGAGTTTTTGAGCTTGATTACTTTTCGTTATGTTTATATTTAATTCTAGGAGTTTTAACCGATAAGGTCATCCTTAAAGTTTAGCCGATATAGTACTGATAAACTTATAGGACAATTTTTTTCCTGTTAACCCAAACAAATTGAATAAAGACAGAAAATTGTATGCTAAATTTTGTATGTTGCTTAATTTACATAGCATTTGAATATGATTTAAAAGCATTAACATGACCAAGATATTTTTGCTATTTACCCTAACAAAAATTTACTATAGTTAACAAAAGTGAACTATAGTTAACTATTTGATACTTTTATATACTGTGAAACTTTACTTTAGAATTTTGTTTTTGAGATTTGAGTGTTTCAAATCTCTTATTTAATACCAATGACGTTAAATGTGTAAGTAATACATTAATATTTAAGTAACATTTCCATTTAATACAATAAATATGCATGTATGAACTATAGATCATAAAATATAACAATCTGCAATCCGTGATAAAAGATACTTTGATTCACTATAGTGAAAACTTTGATTTACAATACTAAAACTTTGATTTACAATACTAAAACTTTGATTTACAATACTAAAACTTTGATTTACAATACTATAACTTTGATTTACAATACTATAACTTTGATTTACAATACTAAAACTTTGATTTACAATACTAAAACTTTGATTTACAATACTATAACTTTGATTTACAATACTAAAACTTTGATTTTCAATACTAAAACTTTGATACTATAGTTCACTATAATATATTTTTGTTAGGGCATTGTCAAATATTAGTTACTAAACAGCTTTAATTTCTAAAAATAAAATTACAAGACTATGCACCCTGTAATTATAAAGGATAAGCGCACATGATATGAATGTAATATGACTTCCCAAAATGTTTGGTTTATGTTGTTTGTGTGTTTGTTTGTTTGTTTTGTTTGTTTGTTTGTTGTTGGTTTTTTTGTTTGGTTTTTGTTTGTTTGTTTTTGTTTTGTTTTGTTTTGTTTTTTGTTTTTTTTTTTTTTTGTTTTTTGTTTTTTTCTGTTTTTTGGTTATCTGAATGTCAATTTAAAACAATAAGATTTAAAGATTTCATCGTTATAAGCAAAATATCGGATTATACAACCCCCTTATTAGACACGTTTTAATTAAATACATATTTTTAAGACTGTATTCTATTCAGATCCCAGGGAAATACTGCTTCTGTTGATAAATCACGGAGGGTGTTCCAGATCCACGGTCATTTCTTGTCTTCTCTGATTCTAGTGGGAGTTTTAAGTTTAATTTGGGACGAAGTGTTTGTTAGAAATCACATTGAGAAAATCCACGACAAAACAAGTTGGATAGCATTGAACTTAGTAAGTATTTTTCTTAAATTAGAATATCACATTCAAAATGTTGAGAGTCAAAAATATCATGAATATTTTGCATAGTAAGTACAAATCTGTATGTATATCCTTTTGCTATAATACATTTCTATTTATAATTTTAGTCAAGAAGGAAAAACAATTTGTGATTTTACATTTATGTGCTATTTTGTTTAATAAAAACTTAGAAATGTTGAATAACTTTCTTTTACTTTTTTTTTATTCCTTAGGCATCCTGCAAGTTAATAAACTGTCTACAGAAATATTTTAGATCAACCACATATTTCTGGATGTTTGTGGAGGGTTTAAATGTCCTAATTCCATTGTATCAGACTTTTAATAGAGAAATGGGGATGCCACTTATGTGCTTTTTAGGATGGGGTATGTTGTAAAAATAGCTGAAATCGCTGCATATTTCTTTCAAAGATACTTTATAAGTTAATGCAAACTCATCAATTAGCTCTGTTTTGGTTGTCTCCCTTTCTTGTCCTATATCTGACCATGTTATCACTCTCTATTCAAAGATTATATTTTTTTGTATCTTTACAAAAAGTAACCAAAATTGGCTTGATCTTGGTCACCTGTAGAAGCTCTTTTCCAATAAAACAAAATTGTCTGTTTTTGCTTTTTTTAGCTTTAGTTAGTTAATTCTATATAAATTCTATTCCAAAGTTTTAAACGTATCATTAACCGTCTTTTTAATATTTTGTATACCTACGTTTAAAGTGTGTACAATTGCATGCAATTTACATTTAATTACATGTATTACATTAAATTAATACATTATTATTATTATTATTATTCATTCTCGAAGGTTTCCCGCTTATAACAGTTGCCGTATATGCAATTTTAAGATCAACAATTGAGCGCTACAATTTTAAGTAAGTAAGCTTTTTAGTACGACAGATCTGAAATAAAATTTCTTGTCTTAATGATTTATTTTAAAAATTCAGATATTCTGGATTACAGAATGACTTTTATACTCATTTTAGGTGCTGGATTTACACTTTTCTCGAGATAGAATGGATAATATGGGGCCCAAACTACTTGACAATCTTAGTAAGTTTAAGCAACGTATTATTACAAAGACCTACATAATAGCATTCTCCCTTCTTTCTCTCTCTCCTCTCTCTCTCTCTCTCTCTCTCTCTCTCTCTCTCTATCTCCCAAGTACCCTTCCAGCATAATAAAGTCATACACTCATATTTACAGGCTTCTCGAAGCCTTTACGTACAAATTTAAGAGACAATTCAAACAAACGAATAAGTGACTGCACATACACTGAAATTGAGAATAAATGCCTGATTCTTGCTTATTTCCAGCAATTTGTCTGCAATTTCGCCGACTTGAAATTATCCTTTCCGATTACTGCGAAATGTCATGTAACTTTCAAACAATGATCCCTTTTTTTCTCTCGCTCTAAAACGTGGAGGTATTTTGAAAACCTGTGATTGCTTGTCGTGACACCAAAATGGTTATCACGCTTTTGATTGGTTGATTGATTGTATGTTGTTTTACGTCACTGCCTATGTTTACGTCTTAGCTTTGACATGGCGCCGTGAACGAGAATCGAAACCGATCCACCCGAACACAAAAACGAAGGCCCTGCCCCTAGGCTACCGTGACCGGTCAGGCTTTTAAATCGATCGACGAAAGATAGGGTGTAGGTAATCCGTGCAATGATTTAATAAAAGAAAGTAAGTTCGACAACTTACTTGAATCTTAAAAGAATCTTGAAAGAAAAGGGATATCTCTGTAAATTATCTTTTTAATTTAAAGGGATTAATTTTTGTTTAATCAGTATAAAATTACATGTATCTTAATTTTCATTATTCAAAATACACTTAAAACAATAATATATGCATGGCAAAAAAAAAAATCGGATCATGAAGAGAGTCTTAGATTTTTAATTCTTTTAATCTTTTATTTCAGTGCAATTTAATTTTCCTGATAGTTATAGTGAGGGCCATAGTAAAAAAGAATAAAGAAAAGAAACAACACAGAAGTCCATCAATGATTCCGTAAGTCGACTACCTGTACTTGCTCAGGTTGAAATAAATTCACAATGTTGTTGTTTTACAATGCTCTATGATAAACTATTCCCTGTACGCTGTTATTGGTTTTTTTTATTCCAGCAAATGAAGCATGTTTTTGATAACTAAGATCATTACAAAGGTCAACTATGCAATGACCACAATAATATCTACAATAATAATATATGTTGTAAAAATACAACAAAAAAGACAATTTTACTATGTCACATTGGTTGATACTCTTAATCGTGAGCAAAAAAAAAATATTATGCTTATTAAAAAAAATAAATATCATTGTCATAAGAAGAATATCAAAATAGATAGACATAAAATCAATTTTTTTAGGAAGCCTCTCCGCTCATTGATGTTTCTCATTCCATTGTTTGGGATAAACTTCATTTTTGTCTGGGTTACGTATGCCACAAATAGTGACTGGCCATTCATTCTTGGTAGATTTGTGGAAGGCATTGAGGTATGTTTCATAACAGATTTTAATATTTAAAAAAAAACTCTTTCAAATTGTCGGTCTGGCTCTTTCTGAAATTATTATCTGAAATGGATGAAATGCAAATTATTTATTTTAGTTACCCTCAATACTTAAGATTCAAAAGATGTGACTTTTTTGGAATAATTTTAAATATTGCAGGGTGTGTTTGTTTGTATACTCTGGGTTGCGTGTAGCAAACAGGTTAGTAGACCTTTAATTGATTTAAGAATATTCTGCGTAAAATGCAAAAAGGTTTTTTGAATTTGCATAAGGCGGCGATTTTTTTTACCATCCTAAAATGTACTGTGACATATGAAGATAACTAACAGTCATCAAGCTCCAAAGTTCAATGGAACAATACAAATTTGAAGCAGAGCAAACACGGACCTCCAAAATCATCATAGATGGGATCAGGTGTCATGGAGAATTAAGCATCTCCTAAGGGGAAGTAAGCATCTCCTGTGGACCGGTCACACACGCCGTGTGCTCCTTGTAATAATCGGACAAAAATCCATAGACAATTCAGTGTGAAAATAATGGCCTAACTGACAATGTGTATGGAAAATGACAGTCAACTTTTGACTTTACAATAGACTATATTGCTGACAAGGTCGTTGTTCCGACAACTGGATTTTCGAAATGTTGCCTTTAAGCGAGAATGTTGCTAACTTTTCAATAATCAACTTATTCGTCAGTAGCTTGCATTGTTTTAGAAATTGTTCGCATATTGTATAAAGAAAACATCGAAACTGCTTTAATAATTAATTACTTAAGACTGGACAGTAAACTGCACATATAAAACAAAACAAAAATATGATTATTCCTATTATTAGGAACTTAAGAAAACTGAATATCTTACAGGTGTATATTGAACATCTTAAATACCAAGTATTATAATGAAATATGAAGATAACGGACAATATTCAATCTCGAAAGTCCAATGAAACGATACGAATTTGGAGCAGAGCAAACAAGGACCTCAAAATTTAGAGGTGGGATCAGGTGCCATGGAGGAGTTAGCATCTCCTTCCGACCGGTCACATCCGCCGTGTGCTCTTTGTCATAATAGGGGAAAAAAGGAAAAAAATCCGTAGACAGTTCAGTGTATAAATAAAGGCCAAATAACAGTTAGTATGAAAAACGTCAGTCAGCATGCGAGTATCTTTGTATTTATTCTTTATTATGTAATTCCTACATTTTGCTAAAGTCATTCAATCAGTTTACAAACGTTCAATAAAAAGATAGAAAAATATTAACTCATCAAGCCAGCCAGTGATGTTGCTGAGAATCATTAGCTAACTTAAGAAGATTAAAAACAGAATTTTGTACATAGGTAGAAAGTGATTTAAAAGAACATATAAAATTTAAAAAAAATTCTTTGTCATGTTGTTAACTTTGATTTTTTATCTGTTAGTATATTAAAAGTATTCATTTTGTAAATGTTTGAAATTTTAATGTAAGTCTAAGATTGTTTCGTAATCCAGATCCCAGAGAGCCTCGAAATAAACAAAATACACGGGATTATTTTCATTTCTTATTCTACTTTTAAGGTGCAAAAGAATGTCACAAGAACTACTCAACGAAAATTTCCAAACTTATTTGTGCGGTTCAAAGGACGGAAATTCAGCACGTCGTCTTGCACACACTTGACACAAGCTATACATCCAATAAATACAATGCCAAATATTTACATTCACAATAAATTCCAAGACATCTCAACGGTTCCTAATAGCGTGGAGGTACAAAGAATTTCATTGGAGGGAAGTCAGAACCCGGATGTGTATACACTGACAGAGCAGGACTGTAGTCAAGAGGAAAAAAGGCTCTCCCCGGAGGACAGCCAAAATATGTAGTAACAAAGGTTTTCATTGGGGAAATATAACGTCGGTGGCAAACGGAATTTAATATGTTTTCAATTCATAGAATTATATTAATTTCTTTAAATTTTCCTATATATGTGTGTTGATTTTACAGTTTGTGTTATTCAAAAATATATATTCCAACAAAAGGAGACAGCGTAAACTGAACTTGCAGTTTATAATTAAATTATTTTCTTCTAATGTCTTGTCAATATAGTGGATTTATTTGCTAAAGCAATGAGTTAGGTTAAGTGTGTTTGTACATTAAGGATAAACCAAAGGTTTCCAAATGCCGGAATTTAATTTGCATGTAATTCTTTCATTATCAAAGATAACATAATAAATGTATGTATCATTTGAAAGCTTGTTAAATTCACTATTTAATTATCCTAATTTAAACTTTAATTAATAACTTATTTAAAAATTATTTAAATATTAATGTAAATTTTAGTGCATAAATATTTTATAAATCAACTTTTTTGTATTTAACCCCTCAAAGTGGTAATTTTGCCTCAAGGTAGATTAAAGATTGAACTTAAAAACTGTATCTCAGATTTTTGATAAATCTTCTAATTCAGAAGTTACAGCCTTTTGTCCTTCAATGTTAACAATTTATTAACCTAATTTAACATTTCCCTCAATAATTCCAAAACTAAGCTAGATATCAAAAATCTGAGATACGGTTTTGTGAACACACATTTGATAAATAACCCATCCAATTTTCAGAGAAACTGGTCAATAAATAAGGGAGCTGAATCCTTTGAAATAATACCACAAACTGTCTGATCTTACTTTACAGTAGAGGGCAAAAACCCATTACACAACAAAATCTGCCAAAGCTAGGAATATATGACACCTTGGAGATTCAGCTTTGGATACCTGTCACTTAGCCAAATTTTCCATGCATATATACAAGAATGGGAGGTTCTTTTCTGTATTTAGATGCTTTTAATTAAGTAAAATAGGTTCAATTCTGAATTAGAAAGATTTCCCGGCAAAATGGCAAGAGCTAAGCTCCACCTCCTATTTTATGGTCATCAGTGATCTGTTAGATCTCCTTCTCTAAATCTAGAGTCCCTGTAGTTTAATTACTGATAACCTCTGTGTGGCTATTGAAGAATTCCCCAAGTGGTCACAGTGATTTATTGCGTCTTTCATGAGCAGGCAGTCACAGATCAAATCAGAAGCTTCAATAACGGAACATTCACATGTGGTAGTGTTTATGTTTCATTATTGTTAAATAATTAGAAAACCATTTCATAATTACCAAAAATTTTACGTGCATTATAAAGCAGTGATTAACTTCTTTTTCTTAGCCAAAAATCTCAAAATTGTTGAAAATCTTGAAAAAAGCCTTTGGTGTATCCTTAACATTTCAGATTGATGAAAAATATAAGTTACCTTTTCATCTGAAGAACATGCATAAACATTTTGGATATGGTTTATCCCCATTACTTTTGGAACTGCTGTGAGATTTATCTATTTATACAACGTTTCATTCTTTTTTCTCACAATCAGTTTTTTTAATTGAGTTTCACAGAAAGATGTGCAGGTTTGTATCGATGTATTTTGTGTACCAGATCGCCCCTGTAAGGAAACAACTTTTTTTTAGTCAGAAGAGGATTTTAGGTGTATCGCTGAAGGAACGTTATATTTCCTGTGTTTTAATATTCTACCTCTACATTTTCTACCTCTCACTGACTTATATCAGTTTTCAGTTGACTTAATTATCTTAAGGTTTTAGCCTGATTGTATATCAATGAATATTTTACTTTTTTGAAAAGCAAAAATCAGATAGAAGGATTTGTTTGCTCTTCAGTTGATCTGGCTTATAAAGTTCACATATTTATTCAAAGAAGGTAGTGCTTTAGCAACGTATTATAAAATGAATAATGATATCACATGTCAAAAATATTTTGTTTCTTCTTTTTCTGTTGCCAAGATCAAATTTTTAAGCAGAATGGCATTGAAAAGGCGTGATATGATCTCAACTTTGTAACATATTTGTTTTTAATAATAAAACTTTACATTTTAATAAAACAAATACTTCACAGATTTTTTTTTCTTTTATTTAGAAAAGGGGTTAAAGCAGGCAAATACGTTTCCTCATATCCTCGATATGAGCAATGTGTCAGTTATGGGCACTTCTCATGAAATAAAGTTAAAAGATTTATCACAAATCCATTGTTTATTTATGAATTCTCTTTAGCGCAACGTACAGATAATTCATATAAGGATCTAGTTTCATAGATATTTTACATCAAAAATACAACTATAAGCCTTAGGATGAAAATTATTCTAGATTTAATATATCATGGCACCTGATCCCACCTCCGATGCTTTAGAGGTCCGAGTTTGCTCTGCACCTGATTTATTGTTTAAATGGACTTTTGAGCTAGAATACAGTTCATTATCTTGATATTTCATACGACTCCGTTCTATTTCAACGACTTCATAAAACAAGATCTCAACACAGTTTTACATTTGATAAACTATGTTTATTGTTTGTGAGCTATAATTTGAACCGCATACTATAGTTAACGATTTATTAACCATAGTGTTTATCTATTAAATAAAACTTTATCAGTTGTGAACAAGAATTGGCGAATCTTTAAACAGGTTAATCTGCCTGTGAATAAAACTAATGATAGTTTTTGTTGATAGATATGAAATCTCATTTGTAAATTATAATATACATTCGTTTAGTAAAACAAGAGTTTATCAGTAAACTGCATTTTTAGAACTATAGTTCGGAGTTTTAAATGAAATATATTAAGATTGTTTAATCATTGTTTTCTAGTCATAAAACTATAATTATTAGATAAACCATATTTGCTCATGTATTTTTTTTTATTGTGAAATATAACCCACACTTCTAAAACATAAATAAGGGTGAAGAAACAAAGTTTACAGTGTTAAATAAAGATTACCGTCGTAAACTATGGATTAAGCTTTATAATCTATAATGTACGATTAAAATCTTTTTTTATCAAAGGTAAAAATATGTTTAGCTCATTTTTGTGAATTTGGTGTGCCATGCTATTACTACAATCGAGGTTTGAAAGTCCAATGAAAACGAGGTAATATATGCAGTGCCTTTGAGAATCTCATTTTGCAAATAAAGAGAAGAAGAATATTTCTTTACTACAAAGAAATTCAGCAGTTAGTTGTAAGCTATTGATAAAATTATCATAAGGGAATAAGTCAAGAAGAGTACTAAGTAAATGAAAATGATTTTTAATTTAACCAGAAGAGATTAAATACCTTTCTCAAAATTCTTAAAATGCGTTTTTGATAACACATATTTAGGAATAATGAAAGGTCACTTTATTCCAATGCAAACAGCTACACATAGATAAAAGGACGAATGGTGATTAACCTCTTCTTGGACGTATATCACTTAAATTTTGCGTGATACACACATTTTGCCGGATATAATGTGTCACAAATAACAGGATATGAGATGTATTGAACTTGTTCAGGGGTCTACTTCTTTCCTCCGCCACTGAAATTAAATAGAACTATGTTTGTTCAAATTGTCTCTTTTTGTCTGTGTGTACGATATCATGAATGCTTGCTATGGGACCCCTCTGAAAACTTCTTATTAGAACAAGAATTCTGAGAGTATTGCATTAGCAATACTAGTCCCCTACCGGCAAGTGTAATCTGGTTCCCGTTAAAAATTGAAAATGCCATAATTCCGTCAAAATCAATGAAGCAGGACGAAATGCAAATTTGATCTACAACTAATCAAGGTAAAGTCACATACCAAAAATCAGCTCAATATCTGAAAGCGTTTAGAAGAAAATTGCGGAAAACCCCTAAAAATTGAAAAGGCCGTAATTCCGACAAAAATTTATGAAGCGGAACTAAATGCAAACTTGATCTGTAACTCATCAAAATACAGTCACATACCAAAAATCAGCTCAATATCTGCAAGCGTTTAGGGAAAAAGTGCGGAAAACCAAGTGGGACAGACTGACAGACAGACAGAGGGAAGTCCCCTCCGGCCCGGTTTCACCGGTAGGGGACTAAAAAAAACACACAACTATTTGTTTCCGAAGAGCAAAGGTAGAAGAATTCAGATACATGTAATGTAAACAAGATAAACTACTTCCGTGACAGAAAAATGAATTTTACATTTAAATCTATTAAGTCACAAGATATTGATTTCTTTTTCGTATTTTGTCATTTTTTCCTCAGGAAAAAAATCAATCGGACACATTATTTGAAAACATAGAGTTAATCGAGAAATATTAATAGATTACACTTTTTGGTGAATTATCTATTAAAAGTACAATTACATTTTGCATGTATTTTTTATATTCTCTTCTATATCTTTGATTTCTACAACCAATAATGTAGATCATTCTTTTCATCATTATTTAACTAACTACGTATAAACCAATTAACATTTACTATCCCATTGACATACTTCTAGAAAAATTTATACGTGTTATTGTTCTTTGTATTATTCAAATTGTTCGTGCAATTTGAAATGCAAAATATCCTTTGAATAATTGGCCATGTTGCTCTTTATCAGTGTATTCTATGAAGAATGTATAATTTAAAACGTTATTTGAAATACATATTGCATACATTATTTGTATTTTCTTTAAGATTTTTTTTACCTTTGTTGTTTGTTTGTATGTTTCCTCTTTGATAATTTTCTTTGAAAAGGATTTGAGCAGATTTTGGTTTTTTATTCTTATTAAAAATACTTCCGGAGAGCTTATTCTTTTCAGCCAAAAAGTAATTAATAAGTGTGCATTTCTGAATCTATTATCCAATACAAGTTATACATGTAGTGTTCATGATTTCCTTTAGAATGGAATGGAAATATATTCAATTATCCGGAATATATAAGTACGTTGCAGTATCCAAAGTTTGACAGTTATCATTAATTACTTGATGCTTCTAGTTTGGTTCAGGTAAGGCCTACTGATACTAAGGAATGGACTTAAGTACTTCTTAAAATTTAAACTGTGACAGTGACATCTGTATCACAGAATAAACTCATCTCAACTTCATCAAGATTATTCATTATTCGTTCATTTTACGTCAAACTTTAAGGAATGCATAAAAATAAAGAGTTAGAGCACAACTGAGAAAATTGGTTATTCCTGGCTAGAAAAAAAAAACATGGGCTGGGATGTCTGATTGCCTTTTAAAGATAGATAGTACAAAAAAAATAGATTCCTAAATTGATATACGTTTTTGGACTATTTGGGGAGTAAATAATGCAATTATCATATTTCTAAAATATGAAGAACTTGTTGTTTTTCTATAATCTTCAAAATTCCACATTTTGTTGTTTCCCTCTTTAATCTATTCAACTTTTCATCACATCTTAAGAACTTATTGTAAACCTTTGAATGAAACACCAAAAATCAGGCGACTAAACCTATGCATAAAACTTTTTATTAATTAGATATAGATTTCATAATAATGTGTACTGGTAACAGATTAAAAGGAGATAACAACATAGTCTTTGTTTATAAGGCTGATATTACAACTCCATTTTAGAGGAACTTCTTTCTACAAGTGGTGATCCAACTTTTACTCATACTTCCTATTGTAAGGGGGAAGTTCTCCAAAATCATAAGTATTCAATATTCCTAACAACAATTGTTACAACACAAAATGTATTGATTCAAAATTCAATAAACTGAGATTACCACATTTTGCATTATTACATTTAGCGTCAAAATTGACGCAGAATGAAATAACGCAAAATATATCAACATATTTTTTGGACTATTATATTTTGCGTTATTACATTTTGCGTCAAGGCCAACGCAGAATTTGATAATGCCAAATGTTAAAACATATTTTTGGGGATTATTACATTTTGTTTTATTACATGTTGCATCGAGATTAACGCAATGTGTGATAGGACACTCTATTGATTTAATATTAAAATTTTGATATCATTTTGGAGACAGATTGTCAGATTTCCTGAGGTTTCTTAAATCTGTCAATATTATATGGTTTTAAAAATATAAATACACGTATATTCACATTTTGTGTTCCTAAAATGTTGTAGTTTAAAAAAATTATTTACGTCAATTGAAACAAACAATAACATGTTTTACTAGAGGTAAATTCATGGTAAACCATTTCCCTAGGCGCAATTTTAACAAATCTACAATTAGATATAACCGAAGCCCTTTAACATATTAGCTGTAGATAAAATAAGATCCTATTCGATTTATATAAAAATATTTTGAGGCATAAGAACAATGATTCGAAACAAGGAAACCTTTGAAAAGTTCGAAAAATATGGCTATCGTCTTGTTATGGCAACTCACGAATATTATTTCATTTTTTTTTTAATAAACTATGCCTCGGGATCAATGTAGAACGTATATCCTGGGAAAATATTTGGGAAAAGGTAGTCAAAGTTAATTCATTGCAACATCATGTGTTACCATTTTCAATGAAAATTGCATTTATTTGTTGAGATAATAAGCAATAGTTAAAATTTTCGATATAACATTCTAAGTTTACTTCGACGCAAAATGTAAACACGCAAGATGTAATAATTACAAAAAAGTGTGTTTTATATTTTGCATCATTACATCCTGCGTCTACCTCGGCGAAAAATGTAATAATGCAAAATGTAATAATCCAAAAAGAGTATTTTTTCATTTTTAAATTTTGCATTATTAAGTTTTGCGTTGATCTTGACGCAAAATGTAAAAAAAAATTCCAGTTTATTACATTTTATGTATAATTAACAAACCATATTAACTGTGAATTACCACATTTTTATGACAAGGAGCACAAAACGTGTGTGATGGGTCGACAGGGGATGCTTACTACTCCATGGGACTTGATCCCATTTCTTATATTTTGAGAGGTCCACATTGGCCTTGCTCATAAATAGACTTTTGAGAATGATCATAATTCTTTATCTTCCACATTTCATTTTTTTTTTTAAAAAAAACATGGCTTTAGTTGTTGTTTTAATTTTAAAGATTAAAGTTTTTGAAAGAAAACTTTTCTTTAAAATTCCTTAAAGGGTGTAATTTATCGAATGGAAGATGAACTTAAGTCTTTCAAAGTTAAGCTGAGATTGTAATTAAAGTGTTCGAATCACGAAACGTCTGGTTTCTGCTTTGATAAGAGATGTAAAATCTAAAATTCCTGAAGAAAACTCTATTACAAATCATTTTCTAAAAGCCATTTGCAATAATTAAAGATGATAAAGAAATAACCAGATCCACCTTAATTTTTATGATTATATGCAAAAGGCGCGCAATTGAGATAATAAGCAAAAGCAGTCTAAGGAAATCGGGATTTTCCCTTAAGTAAATCTATCTAAATATCTTTCAAATTTTTATTGATCTGAGTCCCGTGGGTTTAATTATTTAGATTGCCTCAGAAGAACCACCAGTCTCATTTGTGTGTCACTTAAACTTGGATTAATATCCTCATCTTGTAGCATGCAAGCATTGCCTATTTCAAGTAATAGACGTTTGAATGTTCAATACGCGTATTAGCAGAAAATTGAAAGTATCTTCGGGCTTAATTAGAAAAAGATATTTCTTCTGTCATTATATTATGTGTAACATTTTGACTTTATTGCATGTTTTGAAATCCTAATTATGATCACAATTTGACTTAACTGCTGGTATTGTATATTGTAGATATGAGTTTATCATCATACATGTATAATGCAGGTCAAAAATAAGATTTCCTTAGAACATTATTTGTCATCTTTTACTCTGTGGGCTTTTCTTATACATTATGTGGAATAGTTTCGATGTCTCAGTTTTTGTACCTGGGGTGGGTTCGGGATCAGATCACACCTATCTATAAATAGATTTAAAATTGGCAAGGGCAAGGCACTCCCCACGACCACGGGACTGGATGATTGATTAATTTATTGATTGTTTGTTGTTTTATTCCCATTTTTCACATCATATAGAGACGTCACCATGTACCAGTGAAGGGATTCAAATTAAGACCTTTACTCGCCACTCAAGGCCATTACGTAGTGAGGGTTCTTTATCGTGCCAACGCCTACCGTGACACGGGGCCTCGGTTTTAAGGGCTCATCCGAATGACATGCAACCTCCACTTCAAAGTGCCGAGCACCTGGCAAAGAAACAGTTGCTACCTTTTTTTATCGACTTAGGTCAGTCGCAGCCGTGATTCGAACACACGACCTTCCGATCACGGAGTGAGCGCTCTATCGACTGAGCCGAGACTGGATGAAGAAAAGAAAATGCTGCTAGAAAAATATTTTTGAAATAAACAAGGTGAAAGTATAATCCAAGCTATCCAAGTTTGATTTTACATGTTTTACATAGTCCCTTTTGCGTAACTATTACCTGAATGTATTTTTTTCCAACAGATAGCATTGTTCGTTTTACATCCATTTAAGAATATTTCACTTTATTTGGATAACATCCTTACATGTTCAGATCACTCTATGTGTAATTAGCAAAGAATGTTTATTTTTCATCATTTTTCTCTTTCTGGTATGATTAAGACTTCTGAGTATGTTGATGTATTGTCTTGAATTCAGAAAATGTCCATTGTCATGTCAATAAAGAATTTAAACCACAAATTATAATTAAATAACACTGCATATCCAAGATCGATTTTTAGCATGGAACAAGGGTCTTTCATAATATCATATATATAATAAAAAATTGCGAACAAGTACATATTTTTTCATATTGCCATCAATCAGAAGTACGAGCGAAAATATCGAAAAATCTTGTATCACGAGTGAAATATATACCTTATACCGCTACAAAATATTGCATTTTCATTCCATTACATTTTATATAGTTTTTGTCCCTGTCTTTTCGTAAAACAGTGCCGTAGGCTGTAATGTCATAGATGAGATATTAAACAGTGTAAATAGGGATTTTAACCACAATTTAAAGAAAGTTTGGAAGTGTTAGTCCGTGTCAGAATAGTTTTTTACTCTCGCTATTGAAAGGGAGTACATATATATTTTCTTTATAACACTCTTGTTGAGTGGAAAGGAAATCGTGAGTTTTGCCCCGATTGTTGTATTCACTCAGCAAAAATATTTCTGATATTTTCAGTACAGTTATATCATGTGCATAATTGTCAATTTCATTCAACTGAAAAATTAGAATATAAGCTTCCCCTGTCGACCGGTCACATCTGCCGAGTACTCGGGCAAACGGAAAAATCTGTAGACAATTCAGTAAATAACGGCCTAACAATTAGTATGAAAAATGTCAGTCAGCATTCACTTTATGATAGACTGTATTTGCTAACAAGCCTGAAGGTCATTGTATCGACCATTAAACCGGCGAAATGTTTACTTTGAATGAGACTGTTAATATTCTTGTTTCATCAATTTGTTTGTCAATAACTTGCCACGTTTCAAAACATTTTTGTACAAAGAGCATGATCTTGCGTATCGAGTCAACTGGGAGACATGAACTCCATATGCAGATGATGCAAGTGATACATAAAAAAGGGAAGTTGACGCTGGAAAGGTTAAATTCATCACGTTTATCATGAAGTTCTGTTGTTAGGTTACCATTAACGTCTTTTTCTAGTAAAATATCCAAATATGAAACAGATGTGTCAGACTCTGCGGAATCTTTTATTTCACGTTCACTGGGATATATCGAGTCGACATATGAATGGAAGTAGCTATTATTTATTAAAAATACGTCATCGTATATCTAAATGTCGAGTTTAAGTGTTTTCTTTTTCTGGTGTATAGGTTTTAAATAAATTCTGCTTCATGTGAATATAAGAATAGGTCTGCCGATAAAGGGGCGCAATTGATACGATGGGAATTCCAATAGATTGTTGAAAAACTTGATCTCCAAAAACTACATGCATACTGTCAATCAGAGACTCAAACATCTTTCTGATATCAACATCAGAGTACATATGTGTACAATCAAATTTTTTTTAACAAAATAATTTTGCAAATGAAAAGGTAAATAAATTTACTCTTTCCATTTGTATTGAAAAAGCAGTGTCTATGATGTCAAAAGGCCTGGACTTTAATTTATCGTAGAGAATGGTTGTATAAAGTCTTGATAAGTCGTCAGTTCTTATGTTATTGAGTTTGGTAAAATTTTGTTATTTCAAATTTCGAAAAGTTCCTTGGAGTTTTAAGTTTCCACATTTGATTTACACCATTTCTCAGATATATTGTACAGTAATCCCAAGTTTCTCTTTCACTGCTGATAATATTTTAGTGAGGAGTAATGAAAGAGGTTTTGCAATACATTTGCTGGACCCGCTATATTTCTTTTGTTTAAAAAAACTTTTTGTGAAGTTTAGGAAACCAGTATTAGTATTGTAATTCAATTAAATTTGATTATTGGGAATATTAAAAATACTAAAAACTAACATATGATTTTGAAGAATTTTAGAAAAGGTTGTTTTGGGGATAAGTTGGATTACCACTTGCAGAATTAGATCCCAGCTTCTCTAAAATTCAATTAAAACTTAGAAACAAAGACATTGTTGTTACCTGCTTTGTAAGCTGATACCAGTGCGTATTGATCGTATAATCTCTCTTATTTTTTTCACTTCTGAATTATTGAAGACAGAAGAATTGATGTGTTTCATATTATTTTCTTGTGTTTGTCGTTAAAGGTTTTTTTTTTTTGGGGGGGGGGGGTTAATTATTTATAAATAATATAGCAAAATCCAAAAACTTAAACGCTGTGAATAAATTCAAGAAATAAAACCTTTTGATTTATTCCTTAGCATTTAGTAGTTTCGATTTGAGTTCATAGCAAGTGGATTATATTAACTTTTCATGGACTTCAAAACCATTACATGTAACTTCCCTTAAATGGTTAACATTTTATCAAATAACTGACAGATTTTTCCAAAAGCTCCTCGTATATATTTATCATTTTCATGCAATCAGCAACTCATTGGAAAAAATTGATTTTTTTTCTCTGCTGAAGTATGTATTGAAATTTGACAGCAAATACTGAAAAGCCCTTTCATTCATTATATGAAACAAGAGTTAATTCTGGGTTTTTTTTTTATTTAATTCACTTTATTTCCCAGCATCATCATTTTCTACAGTGAACATGACAAGAAATCTGAGTAATTCAACAACAGACATTGTCAAAATGGAAAAATGGCTACAATATCTTTACGGCTCCGTGCATCTCATAATCAGCATTGTTTCTGGACTTGCGAATGGGACCTTAATCTATATCTTCTTGCGGGAGAAAACTAGGAATTCGTTTTGCATTCTCCTGATTGGCCTTTGCACTGGTGACTTTTTAATGTCAGTTTTTGGGACATTTACCACAGCTCTTGCATTCCTCTATGGAACCAATATTCTGTCTTTTCCAGTCTGCCAAGCACAAGGAGTAATTATGACATTCCTAGGGTTATCACAGATTGTCCTGCTTTCCGCCATATCTTTTACAAGATTTGTTATAATGACTTACCCAAACTTTAGTCTTCATTCTTTTTATGCAAAAGGCATTGTCTGTGGTTGTTACGGATATTGTCTAGTTTTAGCATTGTGTCCCATATTTGGATGGGGTTCCTATTTGTCAAATGTTGCCGGGACATCTTGCGAGCCAATCTGGGGCAGCCTCGCTTTGAGGGATATCACGTTCAACATTTTCATGCTAGTGGCTTGTTTGGCAGTTCCTCTTATCTTAATCTGTTTTTCTTACTTCATGATTTATGTAAAGGTAAGTAATATTCATTCATTTATCTGCAAAATTCTTCTTTATTTTATATAAGAAATCTTGATAGTGATATTTAATATCTTTTTACAACAACAAAATTCAGAATCATGCTGTGTCATTCTTAACTTCCTTTACAGCATGTTTGCATTTGAAATGAAGTTTCAATATTGCAATTCTAAACTCTGAATAAAATTTATACAATTTCATTCTGAGAGAACCTTTCTTTGGAAAGAGATTCTAGAATGCACTAAAAATACAAATAGGTATTTCAAATTTTTAGAGATATTTTTTCCGTGTGCATGTAGGATAAATGAGAGATTGTTTAAATTGCTTTATAACTCCACTCGTAAACCGTGGGACAGCATCCTTTACAATAAATTAATACATTTTTTTTTTAAATCCGTCTTTAAAGAAGAAATGTTTTCCATCAGGTATCTCATTTCGCTGGTTGTTTTAAAGTAAGATAAATATAAAAGCTAGTCATTCTAAAATTAACTATGAGTAAAATAATTTACCGATAACACTTAATATTTTGTACATGTCTCATAGATCATACACCAATAGTCCAGCTGCTGAGATACTATACAGATAGGGAAAACTTCTTAAAAGGGGAAAAGAAGTATAAATTAAAATCTCATCTTAGTAGATTAAACATAATGAAATACATTGTAAATAATAATTCTCATTCCGCTGTGGTTCACATGACTTTGACAAAACTACTTTGATATTTGAGATAATAACTAGCTAATAAATTGACATACCATATAAATTAACAGTAAAGACATTCCAAAATATGAATTCATTCAGATGAAAGGTTATGGACATGACACAATTTTTCTATCTCACTACCAAATAATATTTGATACGATATTTAAGTAAAGACCCAAACACGTTTATGGTAATGATACTAGTAATACCATAACTCAATTTCGAATAAATTCCATTAAATGGTTTTAGAATAACAGCCCGTACACAATATCACATTTGCATTTTAATGTGACGTTAACCTTTGAAACATGACTTTGCATTAAGAATTAAAAAAAATACTGTTCCGTTCAGTGGGCGAGCTATTATTATGGATCTTATGGACAGCTGTATTCTATTGATTGAGAAATTACAGAGTTGTTTTTATAACAACACTGTTAAATGAAAAAGTTTGTGTTCTAATCTCAACAGAACAAAAGGCTTACGCGAGAATATATATAAAGGTCCAAACATGTAAAATCAATTTTATTGTTTTATTTTCTTTTTTCCCATGCGGTGATTTCTTTTGAGATCTATGTCTGTTGAAAAATAAGATATAATCATTTCATTCATTACGACAAATAAAATTTTAAATTAGATTAAATTTAAGATTTAGTTTCGCTTATTCTGGCGTTTTGGAAGCGATGTTAATACATGCTATTTATCCAGGGTCATTTGGCTACTTTATATACTGTAACACAGTGTCAATTTTCTCTACATCGCATAAACAAAGAGAAATATGGCACGTTGCAAGGAATGGCGGCTTTTGCAATGAAGAAAAAGCAATAATAAGCAAGGTAAAAATAATACATCTATATTTAGTTAACATTTTTTTCAGTAACAACGCTTCTAATGTGTACAAATGCGATTTTAATTCTACATCTTATAAACTAATTTTGCATTTTAAAAGAGCTCTTAATACAATGAAAGATGATCGAAAAAATATTTCCAAAACCTTCCTTTTTTTACCTTTCACTTTTCGAAAAAAGAAATCTCAAAGAAGTCCGATCTTCAGGTTCTAAAAATCAGCAGTTAAATACCGGTGATTGAAAATGCCCACAAAAACGTCTCGGAGTTCTCAAAGTGTATTTACCCATGGTATTTCTTCTAAGTTCATCATTATAGTTAATCATATTACATGAGGAAAATTATCAACTCTCAAATGTATTTTCAGGAAACGCGAATGAAAGCACCAGCTATACATTTTCAAATTGCATACTTGGTCAACAACTATTGTGTAGATTAAACGACTATAGGTATCCAGGCATTCGGGAAATATTGCGTGTTTTTATACTTGTGCAATATTTCAGTTCTTTTATTTTCTTCCTTTCTTATATGAAATATAGTGTAAAAAGCTTGTGCTATCATTCGAAGACATCACAGATCACTTCTAATTTCATATCATGCTTTTAATATTGGCATCTAATGCTAAATAAAATGATATTTTAATTCTCTAAAAATGTTTTTTTTTTTTGGGGGGGGGGGTGGGAGGGGGTTACTTTTATGGGGTACAAATGTCAGCATTTTACAATACAGTGTTTCTTAGACTTCAAAGAACCTTGAATCATATTGAGATGCATGAAATGAAAAAAATTGAATTTCAAGCTGTATTTTAAGAGAAAATGGGGTTCCCAAACAAAAACTGCTATAGATTACTATATTGTACTAGTGTACTATAGTATTTGAATTTTGATGATGTAGCTAACTATAGTAAATTATAGTTAACCATGATGCATTTGTGTAAGCATGAAGGATGGAGGTATTGAGTTCAAATATAGTTCTCATTGAATAGTTTTAAAAGTGGTGTACATAATGTAATCATCAGGGGTGTTTGTTTAGGCAATAGATATATGTAGCTTTAGATTTATATCTCTTTTTTTTTTCCTCCAATTATTTCTCTTTCAGGTTAAAAACCAGTGTATAAGACACGAGGCCAGAAAGATTCGGATAACCAATACACTTCTTTTCATGATAGGTAAGTCCATTCCTAAAATTCCTATAATTTAGTTTAAACGAATTGTTATATCTCCTTCGGAAAATGGTTTTCTTCAACATCTATGTTACATGTGTTTATACGTGAAATGGAAATAAGAGAGAAATGCAGATATACACTTTACAGAAAATAAACAATAGCAAAAAAAACATTGAGTCATATAAGAATTAAAAAAAACTTGTCAAAATCAATTGCTTTTAATCAAACGTCTTTTGTTTAACAGGGCTATTCATTCTATCCTGGTCCCCATACACTATATTTTCTGTGCTTCAAATGACTGAGAAAAATTTGACCTTGGACCCGAACTTAGTTGGTATCCCTGGAGTTTTCGCTAAATTATCAGCGCTGTGGAATCCTGTCATATACTTTTACAGGGAAAAGGAATTTCGCAATATGTGTCGAAAACACTTCTGGTGCCTTCCTCAATTTTCCACAAAGACTCGTAGCATTGACATCACTCATAGAAGATATACAAAAAGGAGATTGTTTTATTCTCTTTCCAACAAGATGACTTCAGTCTGAAAACTGATATTTAGTGTGGATTATATGATTTACTATTTGATCATCAAAACATAATTCAAAGAATTAAGAGAAATTTGAAGACACTGATGTATTGTGGTAACATTTGCCAACTTTATATTTCTTTTAATTTAGTATTTTGCATATTGAGATAATTACTTTAAACACCAAAGACACGAATTTATGTCTGGAGTCATAGGTATATCCTTACACCTACTGGATATCTTCCCATTCATGCTTTGTGAAAACCATTTTGCTGTTATCTGAAGCTGTAAAAAATCATTGATTTCTGTAGTATTAGATTGTTTGTTTTTTAAATCGATCTGTAACTCTAAACATGGAAGAAGAGATGAATTTGCCAGGGTCTTTTCATTTATGTAATGTACAGTCACGAATTTTTGTCAAGTGTCATTTGTACATCTTAACATCTATGGATTGTTTTTTTTTCTCTCATTCCTTGTAAAAAAACATTTTGCTGTAGGTCTGAAGTTATATAAAAATCATGGTTTATATATATATATATATATATATATATATATATATATATATATATATATATATATATATATATATATCGACACGAATTTATGTCTGCTGACATTGGTATATCTTTCCTCTATCGAATATTTTTTCATTCCTTATGAAAACCATTTTGCTGTAATCTGAAGTTATAAAAAAAATCATGATTTCTATTGTATATAGGTCGGTTTTTCAAAGTCATCTCTGACTCTTATTATTGAAGAAGAATAAATTTGTGATAATGGTCTTTCATCTATATAATGTTTACATCGGTAACACAAAAATTCACTTCTCCTTATCCACTTAATTCGCGAAGATATCAATATAAACAATAAAACGTCGTTTTTGTTGTTTTTTCTGCAGCCATTGCAGTAATAATTACTTAACCCACGAACGAGGGTTTTGCATTTTTAGCTCACCTGAGCCGAAGGCTCAAGTGAGCTTTTCTGATCACTTTTTGTCCGGCGTCCGTCTGTCTGTCTGTCCGTCTGTCTGTCTGTCTGTCTGTCTGTCCGTCTGTCTGTAAACTTTTAACATTTTCGACTTCTTCTCAAGAACCACTGGGCCAATTTCAACCAAACTTGCCACAAAGTATCCTTGGGTGAAGGGGATTCAGGTTTGTTCAAATGAAGGGGCACCCCTCTTTCAAGGGGAGATAATTAAGAATTAGTGAAAAATTAATAGCATCTTTTAAAAATCTTCTTCTCAAGAACCACAAGGCCAGGAAAGATGAAACACATGTGGAAGCATCCTCAGGTAGTGTAAATTCAAATTTGTTCAAATCATGACCCCCGAGGGTATGGCGGGGCCACAATGGAGGATCAAAGTTTTACATAGAAATATATAGGAAAAATCTTTAAAAATCTTCTTCTCAAGAACAGCAAAGCCATGATAAGTCATATTAATATGGAAGCATCCTCAGGTAGTGTAGATTCAAGTTTGTTCAAATCATGACCCTCAGGGGTAGGGCGGGGCCACAATGGAGGATCAAAGTTTTACATAGAAATATATAGGAAAAATCTTTAAAAATCTTCTTCTCAAGAACAGCAAAGCCATGATGAGTCATATTTATATAGAAGCATCCTCAGGTAGTGTAGATTCAAGTTTGTTCAAATAATGACACCTGGGGGTAGGGCGGGGTCACAGTGGAGGATCAAAGTTTTACATAGAAATATATAGGAAAAATCTTTAAAAATCTTCTTCTCAAGAACAGCAAAGCCATGATGAGTTGTAATTATATGGAAGCATCCTCAGGTAGTGTAGATTCAAGTTTGTTCAAATCATGACCTCCGGGGGTAGGGTGGGGCCACAATGGAGGATCAAAGTTTTACATAGAAATATATAGGAAAAAATCTTTAAAAATCTTCTTCTCAAGAACAGCAAAGCCATGATAAGTCATATTAATATGGAAGCATTCTCAGGTAGTGTAGATTTAAGTTTGTTCAAATCATGACCCTCGGGGGTAGGGCGGGGCCACAATGGGGGATCAAAGTTTTACATAGAAATATATAGGAAAAATCTTTAAAATCTTCTTCTCAAGAACAGCAAAGCCATGATGAGTCGTAATTATATGGAAGCATCCTCAGGTAGTGTAGATTCAAGTTTGTTCAAATCATGACTCCCGGGGGTAGGGCGGGGCCACAATGGAGGATCAAAGTTTTACAAAGAAATATATAGGAAAAAACCTTTAAAAATCTTCTTCTCAAGAACAGCAAAGTCATGATGAGTCATATTTATATAGAAGCATCCTCAGGCAGTGTAGATTCAAGTTTGTTCAAATCATGACCCCAGGGGGTAGGGTTGGGCCACAATGGGGGATCAAAAGTTTTACATAAGAACATATTGAAAAAATATTTCTTCTCAAGAACAGAAAAGCTATGTTTAGTCATATTGATATGGAAGCATCCTCAGGTAGTGTAGATTCAAGTTTGTTCAAATTATGACCCCTGGGATAGGGAGGAGCCACAAAGGGGGATCAATTTTTTACAAAGGAATATATGGGAAATTTTTTTAAAAAAATCTTCTCAAGTACAATAAATCCATTTGTTATAATGACATGGAAACATCATCAGGTAGTTTAAAATTCAATCCCCCCCCCCAGTAATCATTTCAATACTGAACTGATTTGTGCTTTTGCCTAGCCAATGTGCTCAGGTGAGCGATGTGGCTCATGGGCCTCTTGTTCCACAATATGCAATCGCTTTATAGCTTATATACAAATCGATGACATACTTACAGTTGATTGTATTGTCTGTTACTCTGCTATTGAACTAAAGTTTATAACTGTTTCTTCTTGATTACAATCACAATCGTTTATTGCTGACTGTCTCTGAGAGAAATGTTGAGTTAACTTTATTTCTTCTGCTAGAAGTACGATACAGCAAACATCTATTTTGGTAGTCCCCATTCATGATCCAGTTGTGCAAGGCTTGTTTAATTACAACTTATTTGCTTGAAATGAGTGCAAAAACATGCTCTGCACTATTGTATAAATATGGCAACTATTATCCAATAACAAAAGATCCTGATGCGTATACTTATTTCAAAATTTTCATTTTTCTTTCTAATCTGGAGACCAGACACGTCAAGGGCTAATAACTGGATTGATTGAGTGGTAGTTGTTTTACGTCCAAATCGCGATTTTTTTTTCACTTTTCACTCATATAGATAGGGCACCATATACCAACGAAGAGCTTCAAATTTAGACTGTAATCAGAAAATATGGTTTTTATAAGTTCAGCAAATTTAGAAATTTAGAAGAGGGTTGTTCAATAAGAAAAACAACATGCAATTTATAATAATAGATGAAGAAGTTCTTAATTTTATTTTTTCACAGTCGAAAAACACTATTTGCATGAAATATGGAGATAAAGACAGTATTCAAGTTCTTAATCCAGTCAAACTATACAAATCGAGAGCAGAGCAAAGAAGGACCTCCAAAAACATCAGAGATGGGATCAGGTGCCATGAAGGAGTAAGCATCCCCTGTCGACCGGTCACATCCACCGTGTGTTTTTGTCATAATCGGGTAAATGGAAAAAACCGTAGACAATTCATTGAGTAAAAAATGTCCTACCAATAAATATGAAAAAGCGTCAGTCAGCATTTTCCTAATGACTTTGCTGATAAAGTCATTAGGACTGTATTTGCTGATAAAGTCATTGTATCGACCATACAACTTGCGAAATGATGTCTTTAAGCGAGACTGTTGGTATACTTTTTCTTCATCAACAAGTTGGTTAATAACTTGCCTCGTTTTAAAAATTGATCGTACTTAGAGCATATTCTTGCGTATCAAATCAACTGCAAATATATTGCTACATAAGTAAGGGAAGTTGACGATAGAAAAGTAGAATTCATCACGTTTATCATAAAGTTTTGTTGTTAGGTACCAATAAGTTTTTTTTTAGGTTACATGTAAGGACTCATCACCCAAAACCGCAGGTTTTTTCCTACAGTCTTTGCAAAAAATCACTTTTCAAGTAGACATGGTCACTGCACTTTGCTGAAAACTGTTTAAAATTAGTTTCTTCTAAGAGAATAAAAATGAGGGCGTATGTGAAAACTGCGCTTCATTACAAAAATTGCTGAAGAATCAATATGAAAGATAGTTTTGTTATCTGGAAAGACAAGCCTTTCAGGCTTTACAGTGTTCAGATGGATTAAAAAATCAACAAATGGAAAAAGAGTATTACACAATCGCAGTTGAACTCTGGTCGATAAAAATCTGTAGGGACATCGAAAAATGGTCGATGCTGTGAGCAATATATCTGAAAATGCCAAATTTAAGGTGAAAGACGTTGGTAAGACAGCATTTCATCATTACAGCGTCATTAAAGAGTTCTGAGAAAGGAAATATAAAACAATAAATGTTTCTTTATCAGATGGTGCCTTTATTTCCTTACAGATGCCGAAGAGAGAGCATGCTTTAAATATGTCAAAGGTGTATCAAAACATAAACATTATTATAATAGACGGTATGATAAACTTGTGTGATGGGTGTAAATATGTTTATGCACTTTTTATTGTGTAAAAAGAAGAACAATAATAAAACATTGAATAAGAGAGAAAGTTGTCATCTTACTATTGCAAAGACAAGCCAGAGCTCCAGACATGTCTCAGACAGGTTTTCTCTCTAGTAAAGAGGTCTGTAATGCACGAACCTGAACCCAAAGGGAGGACAATCAATGGTAGCTTTTATTTTAAAATTGCATCGTGGAAAGTTTAACAGCTTTCTTCTGAGGGAAGTCCAAGTTCAAGTCCAAGTCCCCGAGTTAATTTTCTTGTGGCCGACAACACTCCTGAAATAAGCATAGACAGGTAAAGGAAATTTTGAATTTGAAGAAAGGAATGTTTACAGTGCTTAGCGATCCTCCCTATTCACTAGATTTCAGTCACTGTGAAATCTTTTTTATTCCAAAAACCTCAAGAAAACAGTCAGAGAAAGAATTTACAATTTTAAGTACACTGTATACATTGTATTAAGGAGAGTGTTCTTCGTCGGTGCCTTTTGAGAATCCCTGAATAGGAGTATGTTGAGGTGTGCTGATCGGAGATTTTAGATATGTGTAAAGGTTAACAGGTGAAATTTTGAGGTATTAAAAATCTAAAGAAACTGTTTCTTGTGGTTTTCTTACTTTTAGATCGCGTTTTGCTTTACTTACTGAACAATCGTACACTCGGCAATTTAGCGGCGAGGGTTCTTTATCGTGTCATGCTACCATGACACTTGACGTCGGTATTAAAGGTTTCAAACCTAAGACCCGTGACTTTCACTTTCAACACCCGGCGCGTGTCCAAGGAACAGTCAATTTGTTCACATATAAAAGTGGTGA